ACAATAAATATTTGGGAGTGAATCAGAAATACGTTTGTGAACAATATATTTTCATTGTGTTTTTTTTTTCACATTTATGTAGAACGATAAATATTTGTGTGTGCATTGAAAGATATTTTTTGTGGATAGAGTCATTCATTTATAAATCACAAAATACATTTGTGAATCCTCCTGTCTGCATTCATGAATATTGAGACCCTGAAAATGTATGCTGCGTACAACACCTGGGGAACAGCAGCTGACATTAGTGTCATCAATATGATTAATATATTAATAAAAAAGACTTTCTCTCATCCATTTCACCTGGATGCACATGTTCACTACTTAGTTGTAGATTTGAGGCATCTTGCAACAAGTTTGCAGAATGCATCAAGTGAAAACTATCTTAAAACCTTCTTCTTCTGTGCATGTAGCAGAAACTACAACAGCCTCTCCAGTCTCACCTGAACGCTCGTGAAAACTTACTGAATAGCACATTCCTGCCAATAGTACCCCATCTCTCCCACACTGGCTCTTTAAGTTTGTCCCTCACAGGCTTCTGTTGAGAATTTGCAGCAGTCTCATTAACTTGTCGTGATGCCCTGTGGTGTAACTTCTCATGGTGATAAAGACGTCTGCAGGCTCCGTTCATCAGCCGTTGACCCTCGTCTCATTTGTTGTTGTAGTGTCACGTTTCCCAGCATGCCTCAGTGGGTCATTACACATTGCTGCTGTGATGGACAGAGAGTCTAACAGGGAACAAAACTGCACAGTGAGTCCGTGCTGAGCTGGCAGGGTGGCACACAGGTGAAGAACTCTCCCGATCCTCTGCAGGTTTAGCTGCGGGCCCTTTTTTCTCACCTGTCTCCCGGGTTTGACATGTCTTAAAGTGTTGCAGGATGGAAGTGTCTCACAAGGTAGACTGGTCTCAGGATGGACGTGTCTCACACGGTAGACTGGTCTCAGGATGGATGTGTCTCACACGGTAGACTGGTCTCAGGATGGACGTATCATTCAACCACTTAGAGATTACCATAGGGAAAGTGAATCTTCATAGAAAATGTTTTTAAATGCCCATATACGTTGACAACAATAGACAGAGCTACTTACCTGTGTGGTCTTACCGCTCATCACAGAGGCCACCTATGACTCACAGCTGCAGTGCCAGGGGCAGACTCTAGGAGGAGACACCAGGGGGAAACACGGTGATCATCAGGAATGAGGTAGCTCCAAAGTAGGTCAAGTTGACTGACAACTGAGGTGGAGTTATGATGCTAATATTGACACAATGGTTATCAATGCAGTATTTTATAGATATACGATTGTCATTTAGAGGCAGGGTTGGTCGTTTTCTAAAACTAGCATGATTTTAGAAGTAGCATTCCCTCTGTGCTCCCTCAAAAGCCACGCCCCTCACTTACATGCACTGAGTGTGGGCTAGTGCACGCATGGGGTAGAGAATGAGTAGGGAGACAGGGAGGCATGATTGGTTCATCAGATTGGTACCTCTTGGCAGACATTGGTCAAAGTTTTTACACTGCTTTAGATGACAGATTTTCTTCGTTCCTTTTTCAGATCACATGAGTTATTCATTTCTGTCAGGACATAAAGACAATTTCAACAAAAATCTTAAAAAGTGTATCTGGAGGAGACCAACCCTGCCTTTAAGATCAATGAACTAGAGGACGATCTGCACTCTCTGCTCTGCAGTTTGATAATCAGAGAAAGAGAGTCATTGTTCCGTACATGGAATATGAAACAATTGTGATTTCAACTTTTCAAAGAGTAGTTGTGTTGGCACTTACAGGAAAGAGAGCGAGGTGGAACACACAGAAAGAAGAAGTTTGTTAGCATGTGTGTGTGGATATGACAAATCAAAAGGCAACCATAGAGACCCCCGTTGGCACCGCCAGAGGTTTCCTGTGGACTGCAGAGTAGTGTTATGTCAATGGACTCTGGTGCTTTTGTAGAGAGTAGTGTCACAGCTTTTTGTGGTTAACTCATCATCTTCCTCGAATAAAAAGGTCTCTCTCTGTAGGATCTGTTCTGTGATGCTGTCAGACACGAAGAATAACAATCTGAGCCTGTCAGGGAGAAAAACAAACAACTTTCACTCAAATAATCAACTGGAGAAAAGTCAAACTTGGAGTTTTTTTTAGATACTGTATGCTATTATATTGTCCAGATTTAAAGTTATCATAATTTCCCTTTGGTTTTTCTCAGTCACAAAATCAACAACCTTTAGTGGAAATAGTTTGTATTGCTCCTAAGGACTGAGTTGCAGCCAGTAAAGCTTTTCACAGCTAAATCAGTCTGCAAGAGCAGTGTCCTATAGTCATTTAAACCCTAAAATATGATCAAATATGGCCCTGGATAGAAAATACTAGATGTCCTCTTGATTCAAACCACATTGAAACCACAGAGTTTTAAAAATGAATGTAAGAAGAAAAAGTTTAAAAATGTCTACATTGAACGTTTGAATGTATTTTATAAGGCATTATCTGTGATTTTGAGGATTTGTCTAAGCATTCTAGTAAGGCGATGTAGGGGAAGAAAAATGAATAATGGTGAGAAAATATGATGTTAATGAGGACAGAACTATGTGGGAGTGAAATGAAGCAGCTCTGAGAGAGACGGAGCGAGAGATGGGAGGTGGAGACCGAAAAGTGGAGCGGAGAATCAGACATGAGAGTCGCTGCAGTCCCACGGCGGCAGCAGCAGCTCCGCACAAAAGACTTAATTCTGATTGTCAGCATTAAGAAGGGCTGAAATGAAAGCTGACTAAGTGTCGCGGTCACTCTTTAATTGTATTGAGTCAGTATGAATGTGTGCCGAGGATGAACATGGCCCCTGTGCTCTGAACAGTAATTAGAGAGCTGACTGAGTATAATGTGATCAGAAATCATAATCCATATGGAGCGAGCGCTAGACTGGTTTTTAAACTAGTGCGAACTAAGAAGCTTGTGTCTGCTAATGACCACGACTCACTTCACTGTGACTGATGGGGAGTTGCTGATGTGTGAGAGGAATCTTAGAGTTGTGATTCTCCCAGCATGCACTGCACTCTGATTCAAAACGCCTAAGACCTTCAATCTGTTCTCAGGGACTAAAAGGTGTTTAGACTGAAAAGTGAAAGACTTTTGCACAATTTAAATAAATAGAGTCAATGGCAAGATGTGTTTCTGCAAACAGGAATAAAAAATGTTGACAGAGATGCAACTGATGTGAAGCGAACGCACAAAATGTGCATAATTTATTTGATCGCTTGAGTTTAAAAAAAACATGTTCAACTGGAGCGACAAATTCTCTTGTGTCACGAAAGACAATCACTGGGCTGTCTTCAATTCTTCACGATTTATCTCCCTCTGCCAACAGTTTCTGTGTATTTTAAACCCTTCAGATTTTCTCCGCTGTTTCATGTCTGACTAGAAATGTACTGGACGTCTTTCTGCAGATGAATATAATTACATTTGTTCCTCTACAGTAGCGCTCTCAGAGAAATAGCAAACCAAACACTGCTGTAGTTGACCAATATGAACTAAGTATCCAACCCAAATGTGTAAATAGGAAAAATAATAAAATGTATGCAAAGCAGTTTTATAAATAGGATGCATGTGAGTACAGTTTCCTGGTGATGAACTGGCAGAAAAGAGCACACAGTATTCGGCCTGCAGGGTGGAGCTGCAGGATGGAGTTGGTGGTGCAGGAGCGTATGCTGAGGTACCATCTGTGGACGGCAGCAGGCTGGTAGTTTTTGGCAGCCGTTATCGGGGTCTTTGTTGGATCCTTCATGGATGGCTTCATCATTCTGATGTGCTGAGCAGTTTTCACCACTGAGGTACAAGCATGGGCGTAGAGGCTGGGGAGGGGGATGGGAGCGACCCCATTATTTATACCAGAGTTTTTAACGTTGATATTATTTTAGTAAAAACAAACAGAAAAGGTGCATGTTGGATACCACAGAAACGATAAAAGAAGTCCTAGGCGTCCAATATTGGGTAATTTATTAATTTTGATTGATAGAAGTTGCAAGCTAACTCCTCCACAATGTTCAAAAACCATTGGCCGCATTGGGATTTGTGCATCAGACGTTGTGGGTATTGGCAACAATTTGATTTATTAAGTACATTGGGCAACATTTACACTTATCGTGGACATTGGCAAAACTAGGATTTATATGTTGGACATTGGCAACATTGGGATTTCTGCTTCAGATGCTGGTAATGTCTGGACTTGTGCATTGAACATAGGCATTTAACAACATTAAGACTTATTGTGGATATTGTTGGACATTGGCAACATTGGGATTTCTGCTTCAGATGCTGGTAATGTCTGGACTTGTGCATTGAACATAGGCATTTAACAACATTAAGACTTATTGTGGATATTGTTGGACATTGGCAACATTAGGACTTAAGTAGGATCACACGAATGCTTATGTGTTTTTTTGTGCAGAAGTTTGTCTATTCTTGGTTGGATTCATTCTCCTCTTACACACATTTCTTAAAAAAGTTTACCTTTTTTTTTACAACTGCAGCAGTTTTTCATAGTATCCATCATTAAAATGAGGAGTAAAATATTTATGACCTTAATTTAAATCTTTTAATGGGTCATTTGTGCAGTGGAGGTGTGGTTGCAGTAACTTGTCAGGGTTGACTGAGACTGTGGTTGAGTAACTAAGTAACGCATTTCTCCCAACTCTGATAATGATGACATGCAAACAGATCAGGTGTGTAATGATTCACACATTATCAATGATGCACACTCAGAGTACAGGTGTCTCTGAGTTTTTCATTTTGTCCTGTTGGATAAGACTCTGCAGCAGAACCGTCTAATTTGCCGAGAGCGGAGCTGAGGAGTAACTCTGAGATCGATGTAGAGACTCATTAACCTTTAGCTTCATCGTGCTCTGACGGAAAACTGTGGAAAACTCTGAAAGTGAATGCCATCATGTCCGTCAATGTGGTCATCTAGACGGGTGCGGGGACAGTGATTGATTGCTCTGGTCTGTCTTCCCACAGGAGGCCGTGAGGTCGAGGATGTGTTCGAAGCCTCAGACTCTGCAGAGGTGTGAAGATGGAGCCCTGACCTCAGGTGGTTACTCCACCTCATAATACTCACCTCACAGTGAGTATTTCATCTTGTCCCTGATGTCCTCACCACAAAGACATCAGAGTGGATATAAAAACCACATCAAGTCATAAAGGATTTCGTAAAATGTCAGAGCTGTAGTGGAAGAAAGGGCAGCAGGCTCTCAGCATTTTAAAAACAAGGCCTGACAGACACGGATTCAACCTGTGGCAATAAAAGGTTGTGTTATTGAAAAGTCTGATTTTAAGAAATATCTTTGAAGAACTCTCAGCTGGTGGTGTCTCTGTGAAAACAAACTCCAAACATTAAGGTAACAAAACACAGTTAAAGTTGGGAGGGTGGAAGAGTGCTCAGTGTCTCAGCAAGAACACAGGTATTTTTAAACCTGAGAACAGAACATTCCAGTAGATTGCTTCAGAGGCGACTGCTAAACAGGTTGCAATGCAGTTTTCTCTAAAGTTAGAGACTTTTCACACATTCCCATTACGCTTCCAATCAGTAGACACCTAGAGTAGGTGGACTAAAACAACAATGGCAGACTCAAGAGTTCTGTTTGTGCTGCTCAGTCCAAGTCGACATTTTCTTGAAATTGACTCTCATTGTAGTTTAGGGTCACTTCGTGCGTAAGATAGATAGATAGATAGATAGATAGATAGATAGATAGATAGATAGATAGATAGATAGATAGATAGATACTTATTGATCCCTAGGGAAATTCAAAGCCATTTTTATATGTTTTACAGTTTACTGCTTTTTGAATCATGTGCCCAATATTCTACCTATTCCAAAAGAAGAACGTTTATGAACTGCTCAGCTAGGAGTGGTTGTTTACGTAGATTTAAAACAGTTCTGAGGAAACAGAGATGCAGGTCGGCTTTCTTTCTGTAAAAGGCGGATATGGCTCAGTTGGTAGAGTCAGTCATCTCTTAACCGACACTCCTGCAGCCCATTTCTAATGTGTCCTTGGGCAAGAAACTTAAACCCAATTTGCTCCTGTTGCTTAAATGGCGACGTATGAATGTGTTTTAATGGGGTTTGTTATTTTCTAATGGTCACTTTACACAGCAGCCTCTACCATCAGTGTGTGAATATGATGTGAATGGGTAGGTGTGGCCAAGAAGTCAAAAGACTAGAAAAGCCCAATTACCATTTACCATTTAAATTACGTCACGGTTGTCATTGCATGGGAGAAATCTATTTTTAAAATCATCCAATAAAAATTGCTGTTACTCCAGTGATTAGAGTTTTATGTCCCACCTTCTACAGATCATTTAGTGAATTAATTCAACACTACTATTTGAGCAGTAGTCCTCCTTTATCACAATTCAAACTTTTAAGTCCTAAATAACTTTCATAGTGTTGAGGAAAGGGCTTCAGACACAGAGATTCTACAGTCAGGCTTCACTGTGTGGAAGGGATCGTGTGTGAATAGCTGGCAGCGCTGTTATAATGAAGCTCATCTAGCGAGGTTCGTGGTCTGGGACGTGACGGAGCTGAGGGTTGGTATAAATAGCTTCTTTAACCCCAGATCAGGACCCAAAGTGTAACACTGGCTTTAATTCAGCTTCTCTTTCTCCTCTCCGTTGCGACTTTCCAGGAGGCGTGTTTGTAATGTGGCTTTGTGGGAGCGGATCATCAGGGATCTGCTTTTATGTCAAATTAATATTTTAGCAGCAGGCAGAGGCAGGCAAGCACACTTTGTTCCTTAGAAATCTACTTTTGAGACTCTTTTCTCTGGAAATTTGCACACTGACCCCAAAACGTCAGCTCTGCATTGTGTGCTCAGGATGACATGGTGGGGACAGGCAGCATAAAACACAACATAAATGTCCCCTCACAAAGACACAGTCTGCAGAGAAAAGCAACCAGCTGAGGAGACTGTTGGACATGTCTAGTATTATACCTGAACCGTCCCTACACTCTCCTTAAAGACTTCAACTTTCTGCTTCTTCTACTTTGTTATTATTGTTTTTTTTTACATCGAGGACATGAGGTAGAGAAAATGTTCTGTGTTAGGAAATCAGTGGAAATGTGTCATTAAGAAGATGGGATAGGACAGAAACAAACCTGAACAAACATCTGTTTTAAGAAAAGTATCAACATTATTTTTTTAGATTAAAAGCTCACACAGATCAACTTAAACCTTTTAGATTTAGTGATGTTTTAAAGAACAAGCTAACAAACCAAAATGACAAGGATAGGCTGTGCTCCTCTTGGCTTTTGATAGAAATGTAATGAAAAGTTGATCGAAAACATTAATGTAAGACATGATAAGCTATCATGTCGCTTTGGGCGCAGAGAAGTTCTGATTAGATTGGGGTTTTTTTTCAACTTTTTTTGGCACTTTATAAAATAAAACATTAATCGATTATGACTCACAGTTGTTATGTTTATCAGCTGTTCATAACTCATATCACCTTCATCCAATATAAATCCAAAAAAGCTGTTTCTTTTTTTTCACCACTAAATGACCACCAATGAGTGTGAGTGAAGCTGATGGATAGAAAATAATAAGTCAAATGTGCACCTGCTGAGTGAGAGAGCATCACTTGTGTATACTAACCAGTGTTTCTTTTTCTTATTGTGATAAATTCAGGCTGCATCGTGTTTATTTAAATGCATATACACCAGTAAGAATGAACTTGTGTTGCACAGCCCTAATGGCAGCCATGGAAACATGTTCAGCTTACATGGTCCGAGTGGTCCCAAATGAAGCCTCATAAAAGCCTCAACATGTCAGGAGTGAAAGTAGTTTAAAAGTCTTGTCAGTGAAACCACCACAACTCCATCGCTTCATATTGTTCACCTCTTCTCGGCTTCATGCACGTGTTTAGGAAGTAAATAACGACGCTCGTGCTCAGTGGTGAACTGTTGAATAGATCTTAAGCCTGGCTCACACTGTCCGATTTTTCCCCGATTGTATAAAATTCGGGGTGGTATGTCAGCTCACACTGTACGACTGAATCGTTTACGACGCCCGACCATACCTTACGATTGACGTGCTCACACTGTACGACCCGATTGTCGGGCACGGCCAAAGAGCTCACACTGTACGAGTGAAATCGGGATGGAGCGTTGACAATTGTTAACAAAGTTTCATTTGAAAATTCGGTGAAAGAGAAGGAAGTGGAACTTGTTGTAGGATAGAGGAAAGTTGATACAAGCGTAGATATATGGATACAAGTTTCAGAAAAGTGCTGCACTGATGATCTGTACCGAAAACCAAACGAAAAAACGCCTGGTTGCGTCCTGCCGCTGGTCGCCATGACTACAGTCCTCCCTTGTCTCTCGTGATTATATTGTAGTCACACACAACTTCTGCCGGACCCTTTCATGACGTAAACGTCAAGATTTTAAATTCTAAATATTAAACATGTTTGAAATAAATTGGGGCGTCCGAGACGATCGCCGGGCAGATCGGGGACGTTAAGTTTGGATCTTTGTACCGCTCACACTACAAGATAATCTGAGCAGATAATCGGGTCCGAGCAGACTGGAGCGACCCTGAGATTGTTGGGAAGGAAGAGCCGGAGCTCAAATCGGCCCGATTATCCTTCAGTGTGAGCCAGACTTAAGAGATCAATCCCTGATGGTCACTTCACACACAGCTAGTCTGAGCTGCTGTCTGTGTTGTTGGAATAAAACAGAATATCATGAAACATCACAAATGATTCTGCTACACATTTTACTTTGGAGATTTTGTCTGCCTGCCAATCAGCACTGGATATCAGCCAGCTGCAGCGCAATAGAGAAAGCTTGTGCTAACGTTAGCTAGCTGTAATAAAAGGCAGCTGGGCTCCGTCCGGCATGGATCAATACACAGAACGGACGCTTCAGAAGCAATTCAGAACAACTTAGAAGTGATTAAGAAGGAGACAAAGTGTTGACATAACATTAGCAGATGTGTATTCTTGTCGACAGTGTGACTTTGACACGTTTTTAATGTGGGTTTGGTCTGACAGCGTCTCTCTCCTTCCTCCTCATTACTGAGTACCAACACTGAATCTTTTTGTTGTGGACCTTCACCGCCTACTTTAAGTCAACCAGGTATTGTTTAGGGAGGAGTTTATTTAAAATAACATCTGGACATGGTGAAACTAGAGGCGGGGGATTACAATGAACAATGAGAAAAAAACTAAACATCAGCTCCGTCGATATCAGACACAAACATGAGCTGCATTTTGAGTTTGTTTTCAGAAGAGACTTTAAACTTCCAGATGAAAGTTAGGTGAACACAATCAGCCTAAATAAAGTCTCTACTAATCAGAGTTCCTGCTGCCTCTGCAGACAGACACACACCGTAATGACTGCTCGCTATTAAACAGGAAGCACGTCTCCCTTTAAGAAGGATGCTTCCATTAGTTTCCCATTAGTTGAAATATTATGCAAAGGAAATGAGTGCATATATCCAGACAGAGGATAAATGTGTATTAGAGCGAGCAATAACTCAAGTGCAGAGAAAACAAGAGGCTCTTACTACAGCTGAATTTTTCATTGTTATGTGGTGCATTCAAGGACCAAATGTGGAGCGAGAGAACGAGACGGAGAGCAGGAAGAGAGGATGCTTCATCCTCCTCCTCCTCCTCCTCCTCCTCAGAGAGGATGAAAGAAGAGACATAGTGAGGAGGGTAATTTATGTTGTGCTTCAGACAAAATAAATCAGAGAATAAACAGGCTGTTCGTTGTGAATATCAAAGAGGAGGAGAGGAATATACATAAGCGGAAGGTGATTGTCCTAAGGTTGGTGTTTGGGTTAAGGTTGACTCATAAAGTCTGATCTGTGACTTGAGCATCTTACAACGACTTCTCCAAACTATCATTTTTGGGTTTTTTGGTCTAAGTTGTTTCAGCACAGCTTGACATTGGTGACAAACATCAGAGGAACAGTTCAAACATTTGGGAAATCCAGTTATTGGATTTCTGTGTGATGCTGAGATGAGAGGCTGGATGTCCGTCTGATGTCTGATGATGTGTGATAAATCTGGAGCTGGACTCTAAAATCTGCCTGCTGTCAG